CCATGTGTTTTTAAAAATGGCGGCTCGTGGTCCCACCTCCTAATGTGAGTGGGGTGTAAAAGATTATGTATAAAATTATGTATATGTAGACAAACCCTAGTTAAAATGCTTGCCCCAACATAATTTGTTCATTATCTCATTGATTTTCTGTAGCAGGAAACTACAATCCTCACGTACAACACTACATGGTGAATTTTCAATGAGCAACATTGTTACACCATTGTTATTTCCATCTTTGGTTTATTAAAGTGTGATTTTAAAGGTTGGAGATGAAAAGGAGTTTAGCGCTAAAGATTAGATACTAAATGTGTAATTTTGCCTTTTTATTTATTTATTTATTTGCCCTTGGAATCCTTGATTATGTAACTTGACTGCCTTATTTACTCCTAAACGCAAATAGAATGCCACTGTTGGAAGGTTCAATGAATTTGGACTACAATTTTAGGTTTTACTTTTTGCTATCTTTTCTTTCGTATATGTCTCTTATTTGACAAGATTTGTTAAACTAATTTTCATCGGAATAGTTCGGTCCTTTGAAATATTTTATTTGGCCAATGGTTCGAATTTAGGATCGACACGATCTGTGTTTCGCTATTTCATTGCGTCAAATAACATCTAAGCTCGAATCTAGACTCATTTGCCACTTTTGCTATTCTTTTTCCAGCTCCTTCAAATTGGGTTGGTTATATACCTATTTATGCTGATATATTTAATATATTGAATTGAATGTGATGATTAACTAAAATTGTCATGTACTAATATTTCTTGATTGCATCTAATACATTGTTCACGTATCAAACATCCTCAACCTATCAAAACTACAATCTATCTACTTAGTTTGGTAAGCAATCCTGGTACTTTTCAAATCTTATTCAATATTATGTACCAACCATGCACTTAACTGTTAAACATCCGAATATGGGTCCACTTCAACAACTAGCCCCAACAATTGAGTTCAATATTGACCTTGACCCTAAAGTTGGGATCTGATACGAGATACGAGACCTTCACGTGTTGTGTAGAACAAGTACCTTGCCAGAGTCACATCATGAATGTTAGTCATGATGTCAATCACCCTGGTGATTGATGTATCATGTCTCGACATTCAAAAACATGTTCAAGACTCGTAGAGCCATCGATGGACAATTACTTCTTGTTGCCGACAATTCTTCCACTAGGTAAAGGCCATAAAAAATAGCATTCCCTGTCCATGATTAGCTTCCACAGAACCATCAATAGCTCTTTCATGTTGAGTCCACTAAAGAATACTTAACCTCATAAACAAGCCTTAGAAAGATAATAGATACATGATTTCAACTTTTTTTCTTTCGTTAATCTGATCTAATATCGTCTAGTCTAACATACCAAATATGTCCGTTACATGAAATTGTTAGCCTTTTCTTTCCCAAGATGAGTATAATTTATTAAAATTAAGGAAATTAAGTTTTACTCGTCGAAACTTCTGAAACCAAAAATAGAAGTTCTGTCAATATCAAGAAACATATCGAAACCAAGAAATCTCCTAAAAATAGCCATGGTATCACAACCCGATTTCTGTTGGAATGTCAGCAAGTTTACCACATCGTCACAGGAAGATAGAACAGGTATCAGTATCTCATCCGAAAAAAATCTTAGAACAAAAAGTTCATCTACAAAAATTAATGAAATTACTGTCTATACAATAGAAACTTACTCTCTGGCTGTAAATTCATGTCTAGCGAGCTCTACGGCACATCTCCAATGACATCCTCAATGCTGAGATTCAAGAAATCGAAGTTTTTTGACTCCTTTCCATCATTCGTTACGAAATGTTTCAATTTTCTCATACATAATTTAGACTTGTGCCTCAGTACTGGCAAATGCAATGTCTGAATAACTCCCTGATCAACTCTGATCATAGATACTGGAGACAAATCTGACTAGCATTGAAACTTACCATACATCTATTAGTTTTCTTGTAAGTTTAGTGTTCTAAATATTTTAGTCCAAATGCTATACAAATTTAGCGTCTCTATATTACGCCATTCGCTACAGAGATTCACGTGTTTCTATTTCTCCTGCAACAAACTCATGTAGTGAGCTATAAAACACATCTTCAATGGCATCCTCAATCCTTCTTTGTCTCCATCCTTTTCATCATTCTTCACAAAATGTTTAAACTTTTTCCTACACAATCTCAACTGATCTTCCAAAAGACACTTCTCGAATGAATGACTTAG